CGAATAGCACTGGTGTTGTCAACATGTAGCCGAACATGAGGCTGCACTTCCACTCCCAGTTAAGCTAGTAATCACTTGAGCCACACAATTTCCAAACGCCACTTCACTCATGGATCGGTACTCAGCTTCTATTGAAGATTTCGATACCTGATAAGTTTCATAAACATACATGTATTTTGTGCATAAATGATTGATCTGTATGTATGTATGTATGTGTTTAAATTGCTCTAAATTAGTTCATATTGACCATAGAATGGCCCTAGTGTCATTACCAAGACATTTAGCAATTTAACACAGATTGAAGCTAAGATTGTGAACAAAACAAAGTGCAGTGGACGAATGCAGGCGCAGTGATAAAGTGCATATGTGCAGAGGCAAACGTCCAACCGGAGGCCAAATCGATGAAGACCCAAATCGAATTATTGTGGGTTGGAATCTTCACTCAACTAATCCCCCAATTTATGGGGGAAACTTTGGGATTTTATTATCTAGTCTCGATGTTTTAATCACGACTTGTTTTTCCTCCATTTTATATCGTGTGAAATTGTTTAACGCTTTGTGTTGATTGGCCACCTTCACAATGATTTGTAGTTTTCTAGGTTAATAAAGATAGTGAAAACCTAGTAACCGAAAGCATTTCACACTACATAATTGCCTATCGAAGCGATAGTGGATTAAATAGAAAATTATGCAGTCATTTTAGAGATATCGTTCTTAAGGCAATTTAATTAATTCAGTTAACTACGATAGTAGAAATTGTGTTGATTAGTTAGTATGTGGTAATTCTCGATAGAGATTGCTATCAATATAGAGATATCCCGACTGTAGAACGTCGGATTAAATTAATTGACAAGGGTAATTAAATTTACCGAGGTTAATAGTAAAATCTTGTGTTTCCCCCGGAACTCTCCAAAGTTAATTTCTCCAAAATATTTCATTATCTGAGTTCGTTAAATTCAGTGTTTTTGCAACTCATCACTTGATTACAACCTTAGAAATTTCTATAGTTTCTTGAACTAAGTTTGTGTAATTATTGAATTTCACCAATCCCTTAATGAACGATAATTTTACTTACAATTTATTACTTGTACGACACTGTGCAGTTGCAGTTTTCTCGCCACCAAATTTTGGTGCCGTTGTCGAGGACATATGTTGTTTTTCACATTTGCTGACATATGCTGTTTTTCACATTTGTGTACGATTGTCGACAGGGGCAAAGACGTGAAAGAAGTTCAGGCTGAGGCGTACTCCACTGTAAAGCGGATTAACGAGACATTTGGTAGGCCTGGGTATATGACCCTGTTGTGTTGATTGATGCCCCTCTGAAGTTCTATGAGAAAGTTGCGTATTATGTTGTTGCTGAGTGTTGTTTGGTGACTGCTTTCAGGTATGGAATGAATCTCATACCTTATGAGTATGTCATGAGCCGCCAAGGGAATAAGCAACTGGATAAAGTGTTGGGACTCGAATCGTTGATGAAGAAGAGCATGCTGGTGATATATTGACTGATTTTATAGGTTGCTCACCATCCTTGAGTGGAGCAATTCGTGTGAACCCGTGAAATATTGACGCGGTGGCTGATGCAATGGATTTTGCCCTGGTGATGGCAGACTCGGAGAAACAGCTTAGGCATGAGAAGCATTATAGATATGTAAGCACACATGATGTTGGGTATTGGGCACATAGTTTGTTGGAAATTTGGTTGAACCGGACTAATCAAGTCAAACCGGTTTTGGGTTGGACCGACCAACCGGTTTGGTATTAGACCGACCGAACCGATATTCTAATTCCGTGAAGGGACACATCCCTTTGGCCTAGTGGCGGTTGCATTATTTTATGGATAAGGATAACCTTATGGATAGAGGCAACCCTTCATATGGATAAGGATAACCTTTCATATGGATAGAGGCAACCTTTCATATGGATAAAGGCAACCTTTCGTATGGATAAAGGCAACCTTTCATGAAACAATGCATGGATTCGGCCCCTATAAATATGTGTGGGGTGGATGATGCCTCATACCATCAAACATATTCTTCTTCTTTCTTCCAAAAATTTCTAAGTATGCTTTAGTGTTCTTGAGCCTGGAACCTAAAGTGGTGATAGTTTTATCCTCGGGAAAAATTTCCTGTAACCCAAGGCTTTGTAGAGGGTGAAAATATTCTTTTCGGAAAGTGAACATTGTTCACGACTCTATCACAATCCTGGTCACCCGATCTCGGGCAATCGTACGTGTACCCTCCTCCCTAAAAGTCCCAACAATCGAAAAGAATACTTTCCGGTACGATGGCTCGAATCGCTCTTTACAAGAAACCGGTTCCGGTTGATGGAATCATGAGAATTTTCGATGATGGGTATTTCATCGATGGAAGTAGAAGATGGTTTTTCTTCGTACTAGCCTCATGGTGTCTTCCATATCAGGAAGGTAACTTGGAAGAGGGTGATTCGTTCGAAGACGAGGAAGAAGGAGAATGATTCATAAAAATGGAGAAATAGAAGAATGACAATTGCCTTTGTGTAGGTCACATACTCAAGGGTTAATTAGTAAAATTCTCTATTCGACATTTATGAAGATCTAGATAAATTTGGATTTGTCTAGTGGTTTGGTGGTGTGATTTTGTCTAGTGGTTTACGTTAAACCAAAGAGACGAAATTGTGTATACAATGTTTGATGATTCTGGTAATAGAGTCGTTGTGTTTGTATGTAGATGACATATTTATCTTTGGGACCAATCAGAGATAAGTGATTTTGTCAAGTGGTTTTTGTTATTTTAAACCAAAGAGACAAAATGTGTACACAATTTATGATGATTCTGGTAATGAATTCATCGGACATTTGTATTTATAAGACATGCTTATCTTTGGAACCAATAAAAGATAAGTGAACTTTAATAAAAAGTTGTTATTTCAATTCTCCATGTAGGATATGGGGGAGGCAAATGTGATTCTGTGTATTGAATCAAGCGGAACGACAAAGAAGAGTCCTTCTCTCAATTTTTTTGCATGAGAAAGTACTTGCATAAATTCCATAGTATGAATTGTAGTGAGTTAAAGACCCCAATGGATCCAAGTATGGAACTTATGGTTAATACTGGAAATCAGTTTTACAACTGGAGATGTATGCATGACTTACATGATGCTAGATATCGCATGTGCGATAGAACAATTAAGTTGGTATGTGATGAATCCTAGTTCTCATCATTTGAAATGAAATGAGGTGTGTACTAGGATATGTCAAAGGCACACTGTATTGACTTATAGTGACTTTCCATTAATTTTGGAAGGATTTGTTGATGTTATTTGGATTTCTCATGTTAAAGGTGATACTTCAACATTGAGATGGGTCCTCTTGCTTGGGAGAGGTGCCATATTTTGGGCCTCTAGAAAGCAAACTTGCATCACTAAGTTTCACTATAGAATCAAAGTTTGTGTGGTCTTGGTTTCTCTTAGAGAAGAGACATAATTGTTGAGAGGTTTGGTTTATGACATATATTTATGGCCTAAACCAAGCTCACCTATTAATATCTTTTGTGATAGTAATGCTAATTTGGCTAAGGCATATAGTCAAGTGAAAATGACAACTACGGTCATGTGGGAGTAAGGCACGGTAAAAGCTGTGAACTGATCATTCATAGTGTTGTGTCTAGATAGTATGACCAAACTCGAATTAATTTGGTTGATCATTTGACGAAGTGGTTAACTAGTGACTTGGTGATTAAGTCTGTGAAAGGGATGGATTAAAGTCCATATAATTTCTGGTAATGGGACACCCAATTCCCCTCTAATATAACGTTAGAGGCTGAATTCAATGTGAAAAGCTTATTATCAGAAATTGAAGCACACAATGTTTCATCCCGAGGTATGTGCTTGCTATCCTGCATGAGAGAAGAGGATGAAGTTCAAAACTTCTTAATTGAATCTTTGAAAAAGTGTATTATGCGGGTACATGAATAAGAGATTCAATCTACGTAAGCATGAAGTGTAGCCGCTTCAAGAAACCCGGAATTTGGTTTCGTGTGCGCTTATGAGAAGGATTGGACACATGGTTAGATAATTGGACCGGACTAACCAAGTCAAACCGGACTAATCAAGTCAAACCGGTTTTGGGTTGGACCGACCAACCGGTTTGGTATTAGACTGACCGAACCGATATTCTAATTCCGTGAAGGGACACATCCCTTTGGCCTAGTGGCGGTTGCATTATTTTATGGATAAGGATAACCTTATGGATAGAGGCAACCCTTCATATGGATAAGGATAACCTTTCATATGGATAGAGGCAACCTTTCATATGGATAAAGGCAACCTTTCGTATGGATAAAGGCAACCTTTCATGAAACAATGCATGGATTCGGCCCCTATAAATATGTGTGGGGTGGATGATGCCTCATACCATCAAACATATTCTTCTTCTTTCTTCCAAAAATTTCTAAGTATGCTTTAGTGTTCTTGAGCCTGGAACCTAAAGTGGTGATAGTTTTATCCTCGGGAGAAATTTCCTGTAACCCAAGGCTTTGTAGAGGGTGAAAATATTCTTTTCGGAAAGTGAACATTGTTCACGACTCTATCACAATCCTGGTCACCCGATCTCGGGCAATCGTACGTGTACCCTCCTCCCTAAAAGTCCCAACATAGTTTCCTTCAGGACTTGTAGAGCAGTTTGTTCGAGTTTGGGAAACGAAGACAGATGTAAAGCAGTTTGTTCGAGTTTGCTTTGTCTTGGTTTCTTCCCCATTTGTGTAGAAGGTTGTTTCTCTGGGAACATTTGACAATCGTCGTTGGAGTTGCCATCAAGCCAGCCATGCGGATGTTCTCAATTTGGCGTTTCTAAATTCCTAGTTCTTTCTTAACACAACTAACTTTTAGCCAATGCTTAATTGGTATAAGCCGAATTCGAGAAGATCACAGTTTGAGAAACCATCTTAAAAAAACGAAAAACTCAAAGTAAAACTTGGCATTGGCCCTTTATATCTTAACCAACATGAACATATCACGGGTAGGAGAAAAAATCACTCTTTTCACCAGATACATATTTCTCTATGCTTCTCTTATAAGCAAATCTTCCTCATGCTTTTGTTCTTTTTTTATTTTTCCTGCTTTTGCATAGGCCAAACTCAAACCAGGCTTCTTTCAATTTATTCTCAAAACACCTTCCCAAAGTCAACCAAATATATCCTCCATTACTGGATACGCCTGCATAGGGTAATGCCATCACCAACAGAAATCTGAGCAACATCAACTCGAGGATCCGAAGCCAAGAACTTGTTGAGTTGAAGAATGGCATTCCTATCATTTCTGAAGCGCTCTGGAACTTCAGCTTCCTCCTTCGCCACAAATCCAAACCAAAGGGTGTTGTCATAGGCAATCACACCTCCAACCTTCACTAGCTTCACTATTTGCTCATGGTAGCCCTTGTAGCTTGTTTTGTCCGCATCCACGAATGCAAAATCAAACAATTCCTCCCCCTGGTCACGATAAACAAATAAAATATATTACACAATTTTTTTATTTTATTTTATATATTACGCATCTTTTTATCTAACTCCATTTGAGTATCATCGTGGAATTATAATAGTTTTTACAACTATGACATAATCAACTTATATAAAATTGCTCATCAACTCTGCAATCCATGTTGACAAAAGAGCTAGCAGTCCTCAACTCTGCCTAGCCCCATTATTTGATTAACGATAGGGCTGGACAATCGACTAGCGGATAACTGATCGGTTACAACTTACAATCGAAACGGGTCGGTTATCCAGTCACCAAAAATCGAGGTAACGTAAAATTGGTCAGTATTCGGAGGGATGGGCTAGTTGTTTTTGGTCTTGTGGGCAGCTCGGTTAACCGAAAAACCGAGATAACCGAAGCTTTAAGGCCTCTTTTCGGTCGGTGGTCAGTAGGTTTGGATGTGGTGCGCGATTTAACCGATAACCGACCGAACACCACATGACTAGGGACCACCCAATCAACTTGTGAACAACCCAACCAAAATTGGACCAATCAAGCCCACCCTTTTATTTGTATAGCATCTACAATTACTCATATATCATGTGGCCTTAACTTACTTGGTGGGTGGTGTTTAGGATCAATTGGTCCAGAGCAGGAGTAGCGGGGGACTCAATGAAGTTGATTTTGTGGGCCAAGCCTGCTTCCTTGATGCAGGGCAAGCCCACTTCGTAATGCTCCCTACTGATGTCAATGGCTGTTATCTGCGGTTCAATTCAGACGTACGTAATTAGTGGCTGCAGGACCATTGAGAATAGAAATGTGGCTAAATTTTAGTAAATTAACCAGGCCATCGTCGGGCAAGGCTAGGGCGGTGGAGAGGAGGGAGTAGCCGGTGAAAACACCAATCTCTAGAGTCCTTTTAGGGTTCATTATCTTCATCAACAATGACAGGAACCTCCCTTCATCTACCGGCACCGCCGTCTCCGCCCTGCAATATCCATTTTTAAGCTCCACTGATAACAGAGTATGCTAAATTGGGTGAGCACGTCTACTATGCTATAAAACATTAGTGCTTTAATGTACAACTGAAAGTTGTACCATAACGTTTTAAATGTATAAATTTAGGTTGTACCATAAAGGAATTTGTACTCTTATGTTATGACACGACTTTACAACTTAAAATTGTACCGTAACATAAAGGGTACAAGTTCAAGTTGTACCATAAAAGAATTTGTACAAAGAGTATAGGTACAATCTGAAGTTGTACCATAATATTAAATATATAATTTCAAGTTGTACCAAAAAATAAAAACCTATAACACCAATGTTATATAACATTGTAAAATTACTCAAATTGGGTTGGGTGTAATAATACTCACAAGTTCCCGTACTTGTTGACGGTGGCTTCCCTTAGTTTCTTCAGCTGCTCATGCTCTCTTGGATACACGCTCGTCTCGTATACGTACTAGTTCAAACACACCATAACCATTCATTAATTTTGGCATTTCATACCTGCCCTAACCATTTTTGGATAAGAATATTTCTAAGCAAATTAACTTGGATAGATGAGATTAGCTGAACAACATGATTTGGGGAACCCATTTTGGGCGTCATGTCCATTACCAAGGGAGTATTGGTTAAATCCTGATTAATATGATCACGAATTGGGTAATTATAGTGGGCAATATATAAACTAATTTCAATAATAATTTACGACCAGTGGCGCGGAGCTACGTTGAGCGTGCAGGGTGGGCTATAGCCCCCACTCAACTTTCGAAAATAGTTAAATTTACATGGAAAATGTGTAACACTTTCTAAAAATTAGACTAGTTGATAAGCCATTAGCCCCCCGCTCACCAATGACCATGGTTCAAACCACTCAAGTGTATACTTTTTAGTCCCCTCATTCAAATTTTTGGCTCCGCCACTGTTTACGAACTGCAATTCTGATGGGGTTAGTCATAAACCAGTTTTTGTGGAGGAATAAGGGCATACCCAGAAACTTAATGAAAAAAAGAAGAAAAAACCGAGGAAGGCTGTACTTAACTCTACCTTAATGAAAACACAGGGTAATCAAGAGGGAGGAGAAAATGATACCTGGGCAAGAGCAGGACTCTGGAGGATTCCTTTGTGCGGCAAATCCATTTGGTTATTTTGAAGGGCTTAGAGTAGTTTCTCTACGTATTGAGGCTTAAGGGATTTGTAGCGAGTGTGAGAAAAGAACAAGGGAGCATGGTTTCTTATATAGTGGCTTCAAACTCTCAGCCATACCAACCAAAACCAACCAACAATAGTATTGCTGAGAAATGAGGTATAAATGACTTACTAACTTCTGCTCTAAATAAATTACGGAAGTAAATGACAAATCTCAGAGTGGGTAACATAAAATATTGCTTAGAAAGGAAAATGAAACGTATGATCTATGTATTAACTAGGGGTTAATTTATAATTTGTGTGTGTAAAAATGGTATTAGTTTCCATCAATTTATCTGGACGCTAGTATGTATAGCCGTGAAACAAAATATTGGTTACATTTCTTTGTAGATATTGGTTGGCATTTTCAGTTTAACCATGTGGAGCGATAACATTAAATATAATGAATGGAGACTGTACATGGTCATGGAGTTCCATTTTTGGGTTTGAAACAATAAGAAAAAATAAAATATAATATTCAAACATTTTATATTGTGTAAAATAATAACAAAATTGATTGAAATACATAAAATTTTACCTTCAAAATTTTGATCAAATTACAAAATTTTAGCCATTTTCAGTTGTTGTTAATGGCGGGTTGACGATGCTACACATGATTGTGACATGTCGACATGCGTGACCGACATATTATCGTCACATGTATTAAAAAAATATTTGTAATTCATAATTATAAAAGGCTAAAATGCTAAAGAATTCAAAATAAGCTTGTATAGTCCTAAATTTCACATTTGTGACAAATATAGTCAAATTTTAATAATGAAAAATATAGTTGTTTTCAGCGAAGTTCTTTGGATTGACCTCGATGAAAGAACGGGTAAATGCCAAGTTTGGTCACAAGGTTTACTAAAACGTGTCATGTTTAATTATTGGAAAAAATTAATATCAATTTTGGTCACTCGAATTGGTAAAAAGGTCCACGTTTAGTCACTCTCTGTTAACTTTATCTAATGTGGCAGTAAATCTTAACAGTTGACCGTTAAATGTCTGACGTGACAATTAAAAAATTAATATAATCCTTTTAAGATTTCTACATCATTAAAATAATAATTAAAATAAATAAAACAAAAAATATCCCTTCCCAAAAAAAAACCTCTTCTACTTGTGGTCTTTTCTCTTCTCCTTTGTGTATTCTCTAGTCTAAGCATGGAGTAGTTTCCTTCTTTCACTTGGGTATTGTAAACACTAGCTAGAACTATGTGATAGGTTGTATGACTTGAATGTTTTCTGTGTGGTTTTGATCACTTGAATCCGTACAGATTATTGTCAATGGTTAGCACGTGTCAACAACTACCCCATCCTAAACCAAATTTAACCTAAGATGACATTGCCGCATAGTGGCAATCAAGGTCGTATTTTAATCGGGTCATGGTACCCTAGCCTACTTCCCACCTTGTTAATTATTAATCAGTTTTGGAGATTTGAGTGGAGGATTTGAGGGAACTACTAGTTTAGAGATTGAATAAAGCTAAAAGTAGATACTTCAGGGAACTATCCTTCACCCCAGCCTAGGAATACTATGTATGTCTAGATACTTAGGGTTATCGAATATGGCGAGTGAGCTTGTTTACACGGGCTTTCATGGTTATCCGCACACCTCCGGGTATGCCTCCCTTAGACCCATATAAAGGCACCTCGATCTAGGTTATCGTATCTGGGGCACTAAGCTCATAGCTCCTTTCAATGGATACTATCTACTGTCCACACTAAGGTTTTATCCCAGGTTCTATCTAGGAAGGCTACCTATAGCAAGAGTTTGGTCGCCTCTACCATCATAGGTCCCTATTCATACATCTACCTCGATTTTCTTGATGGTGCATACCTGTCAAACACTAGAACTCCATACCCAACATAGTAGGGTAAAGTAGGCTAGCTAATAGAGAAGATTAGGGAGACCTACCCAAACACAATCAAAGATAGAATAGCAATAGAATCAACTAGATAAACACATTCATTCATTCAAACCCTAAAATATCCATACATACATAGTAAACTCTAAAACTAGGGTTTGGGGTTTAGAACCCCTAGTAACTTAGAGGACTACTTCATAAAGAAGGGAAGAAGATACATAGAAGAAATTGAAGAAGCCTTGAGGTTGAGGAAGATTCCTCCTCTCTTCTAGCTCCTTCTCCTTCCTTCAACTTCTCTCTCTTCTCTCTCTCTAAAACCAGAAATTCTTCTCTCAAAATGAGCTCCCTTAAAAGGGGGAAAGGGGTCTCTTATTTATAGGCAATCAGAGGACGGACAAATTCGTGGCTAGAAGGGCAGAGATCGCGGGCGGGATCTTCAAAGGAGAGCCCGCGATTTTGAAACGCAGTCGTACTGGCCTTCGGGATTGAGGAGATCGCGGGCTTACTTTGCGGTCTCGATCCCCATCTTTCTCGCGGTCAAAATGCACTGTGGCCATGATTTTGGGGAAACTCTTTTTATCTCCTCGACTCCTTCTTTACGAAGTTCGCGCCTTAAGCCCTCCAATTGGCAGTCGCGATCTTGGACTTCCAGGCTGCGATCTTCAGCTTGACTTCGCGATCCAGGATCTCGGTCATGATCTTTACTTCTAGGCCATGATCTTTAGTCTTCTGCCCCCCTTGCTACACTTGTGACCTTTTTTTGTACCTAATTCGCATATATCGTCTAACACACCCTAAAATCACATCGAATTCAAATACGAACGAAATAGGGATGCAATTGACGATGTTTAATCATTTATGCACATGAATTGGTAAGAAACAAACCTCAATATGAAGGGTAAATAACACCAACTTAGGTGTTATCAAACTCCCCCACACTTAAGTGTTTGCTTGTCACCAAACAAACCTACTCATATCTAATGCAACATGATAGATAAATCAACGGGGAATGCACTCTAGTTCTTCATTGCATAAAGAAGAGTAGACGAATATGAATAAACGTTACTATCATCTTACTGTGCAAGCATAAACTCTCGGGTGAGGACCATACCTACTACCTTAGGCTGAACATTCAAGGTGTGCTTCGGGGGATTCTCCAACACAAATAAGCACAAGAGCTCTCGAATGTGCTTTTTATTCTCTCTTTAGATTTAGGAGTTGTCGTAACAATGGTCTACTTTTTCAACATTGACGCGCATTGCACCAAGCTTTTGAAATTATTTTGCAAACAAGCATCTCTCCCTCATGGGCCCTTTTGGAGGTCACATGGGCCCTTTTCGCTTGTCTTTTAGAAATAAGTACATTCTAATAGCCTTGGACTACGTCTCGAGGTGGGTCGAGGCTCAAGCCCTCTCCACCAATGATACAGGACGAGTCTGTGGATTTCTTAAGAAATTGTTTCACGTTTTGGAACCCCGAGGGTCATCATTAGTAATCGAGGAACCCATTTCCAAGGTCAATTCGACAAACTACTCGATTGATATGTTGTCACCCATCGAGTTTCCATGGCCTACCACCCTCAAACAAGTGATCAGGTAGAATTGTCAAATAGAGAACTAAAAAGGATACTGGAAAAGACCATGGACTAATCTTGCAAGGATTGGTCTGTGAAACTCGATGATGCTCTATGAGCATACCGCACGGCATGCAAAACAACTTTGGTTGAGTCTAGCGCGAGACTCAGGCGGTGTTCCTCCCTTTTCTTCGATCAATTCGTACTATGAAAAACCCTAATTTCGACTTTGACAAAATCAAGTGAAAGAAGGTGAAGTGAACAGAAAATTGAATCGATGAGAAGGGAAAGTGACTTCTCTGTTCGTGTTTGTCAAACCGACAACGTATCTGTCACTTGGTCCTGAAACGGGTTGGGCTTGTATTGGTATCAGGCTGTCAATGCTAACGCGGCCCAAAACACTCGAATGAGACTCTGCGTTTTGACAACTCGATTTCTTCCTCCTTGCCTTGACCCAATCGATCAACAACCTGTCCTTCTTAAAGTTCACACGCACACAGGATCAAGAACAATAACACGAACTGGAAAATAAAAAGCACAGATAAAAATGCATAAACCCGGACACGATATTTTTACGTGGTATCCGGTGTTAGGCAAATAATGAACCTAACACCGACTAATCCACGATCGAAGGATCTCTGATCCGAGACCTTCGACGTTGCACTAAGACTTTGAGTTTCAGTTACAATGATTCAGCACCAATCTCGCAGTGACTCCCCGTCACTTGATCAGAGTCACACTTGAGATACTAGCTCCCCGCCGATGTCTCAACCTGACTGTCAACACCCTCTACAAGCTCTCACTCTCCGACAACTTTCTCCTTTTTCTTTCAAAACACAGACTATCTCCCTGACTCTGTTTTTGAACAATTGAGTGAAAAAGGTTAAGCTATCTTTTCTACATCCCTCTAACTTATACCCATCTTCCTAGCCGTTAGTTCATCCCAATCTCGAGGATTTGATTTGTTCCTGATTGATCGACGAATCGATCTTGCTTAGTTGAGAGACCTTTCCCAATTTGCTTGCCGAGACAGAGTTTCCTTCTTTGGCCATTTCCTGCAGGTTCCCTTAATTCGACGCTAATTGACAAGCTTCCCTTCAACAATCTCCCCCTAAGCTTGTCAATGGCTCAACTTAGCAACCTGCACACACTCAACAAACTGTTGGTGTAGCCTGTCCAAGAAGCTATTGTTGCAAAGGACATTTTATTCATAAAACCAATCAACACAACAGATGTGCTTCCTTTATTCAACCGTCACAATTGACAAACATAACAATCACTTACTTAAACAAACGACAACTACTACCAACTCATGAATGCTACTGCATCCTTATTTCAATTCTAAAAGAAAACATAGATAGAGCCCTTAATCAATTGCTATTCCTTCAAAAGGGGTATTTTGGAGGGGAAGCCTAACGTGACACCCTGTCCTCATCATCAGAGTTTGTGTCTGGACTTATCGGATCACTGATTTGATTTGTCTCATACACAAACTTTGGCAGCATCAAGTCTTGTTCGAGTAACAGCCTCCTCTTTGGGCCACAACGAGAAGTGGCATCTTGTTT